GGAAAACTGCCTGGTGACAAGATCATCATATGAGGAGTCGGATCAGATCGAGGTCAAGAAACCAACCAAGGAACGAGGATGAAGGACAACCAGGATGACGTCAGATCATTTGCATGACTCTTATGATAAATTCTTTCTGCACTGACTTCTCTGTGATAGGGCTTCAGAAAGAGATGGAATCCAGAGCTCTGTATTGCTTTTCCAGAATATTTTGCCTTAAATATTGATTGTAATAAATATCTCAAAAGACAGATTTGTCTTTGACCATTCTTCATAAAAGAACATGCAAGGACCGGTTTTGTCCTAACACCGGTCTGGATTACTCTACATCGGTAAACACTCTAACACTGAGTACAGAGATAATTACATCATGGCTGCATTCCACGCCAGGCCCTGCCTTGCTGCCACACCTAATGAGGCAGGCAGGGTCACACCTGTAGCAGGTGTGCAATGTGTGATGTCAGTAAAATTTATTAAAGAAGGGTTCACCCTGTTCCCAGTGCTCCTCTGCCCCTTTTCTCAGAAACACCCTGTCATCAGGACAAGAAGCAGGTTTCCACCAAACGTGGCCCAAATTATTAACGTATGTTTCCATCCACAACTGTCGTGTAAACAGTAGGAGCAGGCTCATCGGAGCTAAACTGTAGCTGGAGCAGAGTCTCCAGCAAAAGGTTCAACATGACATCATAAAGAAAAGCTCATCCCTGTTTGTCTGCACCTGATGAGGTTGTTCTGCAGCACTTTATTAAAATGTAAATGCACAGACTGTCATGGGTGCCACTGTTCTGATGTGTGTGTCTGTACCAGCGTTGTTGATGAGCAGATCCAGCCTGGACTCGGTTTTCAGGAACGTTTCAGCAAAGCAGCGGATGGACTTGAGACTGGCCAGATCCAGCTCCATGTAGAGCACATCAGTGCTTCCTGTCTCCTGGAAAATAAGCCCACCGTCAGGTCAAAGGTCAAAGTGTTTATTTGTCATATGCACAGTTAGGAAACGTGTCTCCCTGTACAATGGACGAAGGTGAAGGCAGCACTGAAGCATTAATCACCAAGACTGAGTCGGACAGAAATAAAACATCAGTGATTAAGGCATTATAGTGAGAAAACCAAACTTTGCCTGCCGCCACTCCGACTCCTTGCAGTAACCCTCGGCTCATTTCACAGTTTATACTTCAACTGGTCTGAGTTTCTACTCTGTAGCTAACACTTCAGTTGCTTACATACAACTGACTGCACTAAGTCACACTTCAGCTCCTTTCAGTGCTCACATTTGTACTGAAGGTTCAGCTCCTCTCTGTGCACACTGGCTCATTTCTCCACTTTCATTGCTTTTACTTGAAATAGCGGTCAGTGTTTACACTGAAACCGTTTCAGAGAAGTGCTGATTCAACTGTACGAGTCGTACTGCGTTCTACAGAGAGCTGGTTCTGTCGTTCAGCTTCAGTGATACAACTGAGGTGGATAAAGTAACAGATCAATAAAACAGGTTCCAACTAAAACAGTCTGAACATCATCGCCTTCGTGGAGGAGGATTTAGTGCCAAACCGCTGGGCCAGACTGACTCAGTCTGAGACAGGGGTCCCTAAGAAACTGACCGCTGAGCTGACTTGGTCTCGTCCAAATCTTCTTCGTGCTTGTAGTGTCCAAGTCTGTCGGTGGCCCAAATTAAATCAAATCACTACAATTCCAATGATCATTTATTAATACAATATCATATCAATAGGCGGGATAGAGATCACCTTCTCTGCAGAGAACTGAATAAGAGAATTATCAGAGGAGTCAGTCAGTCCTCTCTCGGCCGGCTCCTTGCTTGCTTCAATACAGCATAACGCACTACTTTTTAACCGTACACTCCCTGTACACTCATCGTGTTGTTTTGGCCAAATTGTCAGTTTCCTGGCAAGTTCCTCTTTCCGAGGTCAGTTTGTACTGACCTGGCAAGTCTCTCCCTTTTTAAGGTAAGAACTTGAGGATGAGCACACAATTTACACAAAGCTGACAAAGTACTTGCAGAAGCTATGTAAGCATTTTTAACTCGCACTGTGACCCAGATACCCATGTACTGTCTGTGTGTAATCTACACTCCTATCATACTCCATTATTAAATATATACTAAATAACTTGTTTTGTTCTAACCAGTACATGCTCTTCCTCACCTGTTGTATGTCTGCGATGGCGGCCTGGGCCTTGTCCCTGTTTCTGCAGGCCAGGATCACCCTGGCCCCCTTCCTGGCCAGGTGCAGAGCTGTGGCTTTACCGATACCTGTGTTCCCTCCTGCAGCCAGTAGAGGAAGAGGATCTTTTACTTTACAGCAGCAGCAGCAGCAGCCTGTTTCTACTGTTCCAGGCTCTGACCAGTTGTTTAAAAGTGTCCATTCAGACACAAACTGTTTTACTCCATGGCAGCTGGCAGTTTCTTTACAAACAGCATCAGGTCATTTTTTAGTTCAAACACTGGTTCAGTCATGTCTGGCTGTGCAGCTACAGCGGCTCATACAAACATTCAGAGCAGAGTCTCAAGTGAAAAAACTCAAAATCCAAATTGACAGCCAATCTGCAAATACAGTATCATATGGGCACTGCTCATGAGAAAGATGTTTGTACGTGCACAGCAGTGGAAGCAGTACTCAGATCTTCTTCTGAAGTAGAAATACCACAGTAGCAATACTCGGTTACAAGTCCTGCATTTAAAACGTTAACTACAAAATTATCAGTATCCAAGAATACTTGAAGTAACAGTAGTCATTAAGCAGAATGGCCCACTTCACGTGAATGTCTATGTCAGTAGAGTCTGATGATTCTACTGTTTTGGTTGATTCCTCTGATTCTGAAGCGGAAGTGAAGACATGGAATACATGTAGTGCAGTAAGAAATACAGGAGTATGAGGTACCGATACCGCAGTAGAGTACTGCTGACTCACCTGTGATAATGACGGTCTTCCCACCCATCGCTGCGTTTCCTTTACACTTGGACCTCTTGAACAGGGTCTTCGTGAGGAGCACATAGACCCCCAGAAGCACCGCGGCCAGAATCAGCAGCTGAACCATGGTTTACAACACACGTCTGATCCTCCGGAGAATCGCTGGGCGATTCACCTGCTGAGGTGATTTTTACACGTTCAGGGACTCACGTGGTACAGCGGCGCCACCTGCCCGAGCTGGGCAGGTGAATCACAGCCCGTCCGGTCCGACCGGTTCCTCCGACGCTTCTCAGCTCTGACGTCGAACTGATACGTGCCCGTTTTTACCTTTCACCT